GAGGCCGCGCGGGACGGCGCGGAGGACGAGGAGGCGCAGACCGAGCCCGTCAGCAACGGTGGCGGCCCCGAGGGCGGGCCGGGCGCGGGCCCGGGGCAGGAGCTGGTGGAGCTGCGGATCATCTGGAACAAGACCAAGTACGACGTGCGCTTCCCGCTGGACGGCTCGGGCGCGGCGCTCAAGCAGCAGATCCAGGCGCTCACAGGTAGGCGCGGGCCCCCGCCCCCCTTCCAGCCCCGCCGGTGCCTGGGGTCAAGCCCTGCCTTCTTCCCTAGGCCTGCCGCCCGCCATGCAGAAGGTCATGTTCAAGGGGCTGGTGCCCGAGGACAAGACGTTGCGCGAGATCAAGGTGACCAACGGTGCCAAGATCATGGTGGTAGGCTCCACTATCAACGATGTGCTGGCCGTCAACACGCCCAAGGAGGCTGCGCAGCCGGAGGTCAAAGCCGAGGAGAGCAAGAAGGAGCCACTCTGCCGGCAGAAGGTGGGTGCCTGCAAATGCCCGTAGCCGACAGCTTGCACATGGGGAAGGGAAGGGGTTGGTGACGGGGATGGGCTCGTTATTTCGGGCCTCTCCGATAGTTTTGTAGCTGTTGGGGGCTGGCAGGGTCCTCGTGGGCCGTTGGGCCTGGCCCCCGCAGCCTGGGGGAGCTGCAATCAGAGCCCGATGTCCGGCCTTCAGCTTCTTACCCAGCCGCATCCCGATGGTCGGCGTCAGGAGACAGGGCCGCAGGCGCTGAGCTCGCGTCTGCAGACGTTTGCGCCTTGGGAGGCAGAGCCCAGCTGCGGCGCTGGGAACGTTGCGGCGGTGGTCTGGGGCTGAGCGCAGAGTTTTCTTGCTGTGGGAACCTATCATCCAAACCCAGTCTCGCTAAAAAACTAGCATTGCTGTTAGCAGACAAGGTCCTTTGGGTAAATCTGATATCTTTAATTAGACCAACTCGCGTACTTGGAAAAAATAGTGTTACTGTTGGTCTTCAGGTCTTTGACGAAACCTGCTTGTGTCTGTCTGTAATCTGTCATCGTTCGCACTGATTGCAAGCCGCGTCATCTTTCAGAGGTGCTTGGCAAACTTCTCACTTGCAAATGTGGGGTTTTTTTCTTCGTTGCTGTTGCTTGAATTTATTCTAGGTTGTTGCTGCATTCCTGCAGGTTGCACCTCGAGATCTAGGGTGTTTAGTGATAGCCCCTGAATATATAACGCTTGGTTATTAACATCACCTTGTTAAAGTGTAGCTCTCACACAGTATCAAAGAGGTGCTTAGTTTCTGTACTCAACCATTTCGTCTTGTATTTGGATTTTATCTCTCATCGTATTTTTAGTCTGTCAGATAGGCCTTCAGTTAATTTTGAAGCTAAGCGGTTTCCATCGGTAAATTTAAAATGTCTTTGAGGCCAAGTATTGTTAACTGCTATAAGGTGCTATTGGAGTGTTCAAGGAAACAGTAAGAAGGAAATTGCAAGTAATTGCAATCAAATTCTAATCTCTGGTTTTATGTTTATAGCAACACAGAAAAGTACTGGACAAAGGAAAACCTGATGACGTGATGCCTTCTGTTAAAGGTGTTCAGGTAGGTAAATAAATACCTCAACCATTGTCTTGACTGGTGGAGTCCATTGTTAATCCTTCTTGAGACTTGTCCCGCTTAATTTCTCTGCACTTGCATAGTAAAGTACAATGGATGTTCTTTATATTCAATAGCTGCACAGCTTACTCGTTAATTTTAAGTATCATGTTTCCATTCTCTGTAATATGTTTTTTAGGAACGTCTTCCAACAGTGCCCTTATCTGGCATGTACAATAAGTCAGGGGGAAAAGTGAGACTGACCTTTAAACTAGAGCAGGATCAGCTATGGATTGGCACGAAAGGTAAGTGATTTAGACTTGACATGAATAGTTAATGCTTGGAATCTGTGCATACTAGGTGTCGATTTCCTTGAGTCATGGAGTAATTCCAACTCCTTTAATCATTAATTCTTCCAGAAAAAAGTTTTGCTTTCTTTTCTCAAATGTACTCTTTTCAGGTGGTGAAGTGTTACTAAATATTGTATTTGGTTAGGCTCAGTTGTGCTATTGGAATTTATTGTCCTACTGTTTACGGTTCATGGTTGTAGGTTAATCACACTTGGCATTTTATAACCTTTTGATCTTAAAACCACTTCACAAAATTAGTTCAATTACGACAACACAGTGTGGCTCAGTAACTTCTGCTGTCTCAGGGAAGTCTCTCTTGGAGCTGGGAACACATCGAGTCCTGGCACCTGTCTCATCTTATTACAGCTGAAATGAGCTGGGTGTCTTGTTTCAGTGCGGTACACGTGCAGTCTAGTTTAGGGATGCTGACGTGCTCCTATGCAGGGGATTCAATTTACAGTCCTGAGGACTTGTGCCAGAGGAGACTGAAAGTACTGCAGTGGGAGCACACTGCCCGGAGGACATCTCAAGTACCCCTTTTGCCTCCAAAGGGAACAATGCCTATTTCCCTTGGCTAGAACCGGGTGATGGGTGAAAAGAATGGAAAGACTTGCTTGTTGTTCCAGTAACAGCCTGGCCATATGAATGGAATTCCCTTGGAACAAAGAGCACCAGTAACTGCACATGAACAGCCTGCTGTCCTGGCATGAAACTGGTCTGGATTGAAAGCAAAGTAAACTTTCCCAAGCCTTGATTTACCTCTGTTTATGGGGTTACGTCGTGGGCTACAATAGTTTCCCCTGACCCCTTCCTCCTAAAGCAGCTTGGACCATCTCAGGAAGACCCCTTATTGTGTCCACAGCCTAAGAGAACATGGACTCTGATGTCAACTTGGGATAAGTTTTCTTTGCTACATTATGACAATGATGCATACATATCATTTAAGCTTTGCAAATATTAATTTCCATACTGCTAACATGTTTTTTCAGATCCCACCAAAAATCACTGCGTTCTTTAGCCTGTCCTTGATCAGACAAATTCAGTGGTGTTCAACCATTCACCCCTGCCAACCAGATTAGCAGCACAGGGCGCATCCACAAACCAGACCCCACATAGGGTTGGTGCACAGGATTGGGCCCTGTACTGCTCTGGTCCCATGCACTGAACTGAGTGTGCTTGAGAGCTCACTGCAGGTCTGGAAATTTGGTGATGGAAGAGCAGCAATTAACACTGTCACCACTCCCACACAGCAAACTTTTGAACCCATGGGGAGCTCCTTGGGCTGGATCTAGCCTGTAAGCCTAGGGTTAAGCATCCCTGGAGTAGATGATCATAATAGACTTTCCTGGCCTTAAAATCTGCAGCAGCATCCGTTCCAGGGACTCTGTTTCTCTTGAGCTAAATGGCTGGGGTGATTATTGTACTGTTTGTATGGGCTGCTTGTTTTGGTGCTGTCGAAACAGGGTTGTTTTCTGTTTCATTAGAGAGAGACATGGTTCTAATTGCGTACCTTAGTGTTTTGGATAATGTGTTTCTTTCTCACTCTGGTAGGTTTTGAAGTTTGCTATTTCTAAAGCGATCTAGGGCAGAATCCTTCTCTGTGCTGCACTTTTTTCACATTGTAAGGTTAAGATGATAGTGGTGACTGTCTCTCTCAAGAGGCATTGTGAGAATTCATGAATGTTTGGAGGGTTGTTGTGTCCATGTCGGTGTAAGGACATAAGCAGGCAAGGTTCCTTGCCTGCTTAATGTCTGGAGGATTTTTATATAGATACCACGTAATTATTTGCTTAGTAAATGATCATCAGTTAGTCTGATTCCTATTGGTCTATGACAGCCATACATAAGTTTGTTACTTTATTAGTATTCAGAATATAGATTCACATTTTTGTCTCTTGTCTTTGTGAAGTAAAAACAAAGCACAGGTATGCTGCTGTGCTTCCTTAAGTTTCCTTTGGAAGCAGTTGCTGCCTTTTGGGCTGCACTTTAAAAGGTGCTCCTCATCTAGGGTTGTTGGTTGTAGCCGTGTTGGTCTAAGAACATAGGCAGACAAGGTTCTTTGGGTAGAGGTGATGATTATCTTTTATTAGACCCACTAAATAGTTGGAAAAATTGTTCTTTGCAAGCTTTTAGGCACCAAACACCTTTCTTCAGGCTTAGAAAGAGTGTCTCATCTAGGGTGTACATTGTTTGGCTTCTCTTGTACAGTGACAAGTTCTGGTTTACTGTGTCCCGCACCCGAGGAAATAAATCGAGAGTGTCAGGTTTATGTCGGTGAAACGAGAGTTAGAGAGCTGTATGAGAATTAATATTTGCATATATTAGAAGTAAAAGTCTAAAGGAAAAGATGGGGATAAATGTCCTAGTTAAGAAATGAAAGAAATCCATAGTGGGTCATATTAGGCAGATAGCTGTGACTGAGGAATTAAGCTATCAAGTTCTGCTATGTCATTTTGAACATGCAATAAACTAGTTAATTCACCACAGCAAGAAGAATGCAATTAATGGCAAATTGTCTAGCAGTGACCAATCATCAGGATTTAATGGGAGGAGCTGTTGGCAAAAAAAACCAGAACAGCAGCACATTAAATCATAGTTTCAATCTATCCCACAGTCAAGTTAACCAGAGTTTTTACTGATAGTTTTTTTGGTCTTTTATTTTCTTTCACTTCTACGCTATCTCTAACACAGTTTGTACTATCTTTGAATACTTTCCTACAATAACAAATGCACAGTGTCCAATGATGGAGATAGGACTAGATCTTGATAGGAAGCTGTGCATTTTATTTTTCTAGTCCAACTGTTATCTGTTCTTGCAGCTTCTGCAAGTTTTACTTCCCGAGGTTCCAGTCCTGCATGCAGACACGTGCACACTGAGCTTTGCTACTGAGTGAAGTCTTGTTGAATTAAGAGGTGGGGGGGGACAGTTGTGAAGTTGAGCAAGCGTAAAAATTTTGCAGTATTGGGGTCTGTGGCTGAAACAGATTTGGTTGTCTGCTATTTACAGAGGTTGCTTGGCACAAATCGGTAACAACAAAGCTTAGGTGATGGCCTGACAGAGATTGGAGTTATTTTGAATGATTGGTTTGCCAGTCCCCAGATGAGTGAAACGTGATTCATTGACTTCAGACAAGTAGGAATTTGGAGCTAGTCAAAGAGGGGGAGGACGGCTGAAAGGTGGAGTCCTGGGGACTGTGGAAGATGGCATTTGAAATGAACATGAAATGCTGCTGTATTATATATTCAAATAGTAATTGTAATTCATATTCAAATAGTATGACATATTCAAATAGTATATTCAATTAGTAATTGTAGATGTATATTCAATATAGTAATTGTAATTCATTTTGTTATAGAGAGAACAGAAAAATTACCCATGGGATCTATTAAAAATGTGGTGAGTGAACCTATTGAGGGACATGAGGATTATCACATGATGGTAAGTAATTCCTCTGCTGTCCTGATTACATGATACAGATACAGTGACACAGGGATTTTACATTAGAATAACACCAAGATTGACGGTTGTGCAGATTTTAGATGCTCCTGAAAGTCTGAATTTGAATATTGTCCGCTAATATAGTGTAAATATTTTTGTCGGGATATGCTGTGAAGGTCTGTTGTGTATACTGAACTGTTTTTTTACACATGCTTTAAAGCCATGCAAAGTCCTTAGACAGAAATCTTAATACTGCTCTCAGAAATGTTTGAATATACAGGTTTTCCTAAATGGCATGTCACTTCTATACTTTATATCTGGGGACTTTGGGACAGACTTTCAAATAGGCTCAGACTGTCATATATGCAAGTGCTGAACTCTTATTAAAAATATGGTTCATAATCCAACTTGGTCTTATGCATAAATAAGACCATTTTTCCTACTTCTTTCTTTAATGTTATGAAACGTGTATCACTTGGGGTTGTGCCAGTAAGACACTTGTATGCTTCAGCATTTATTCAGCTTGAATCTTTAGTTCATTGAGGACTTGCTCCTATTACAATGATCAGGTGAACTCTGTCCCCCAACTGTTTTCTTAAAGCAAACATTCTCCAGCATGGTACCTTTATCAGGAAAGTTTGTTTATTGGTGTTACAGTTGGTAGTATTTTCCATATCTGGTTTAGTGTTAATTCCTATTGCATTCATCATATCTAATCAACTTGTTTCATTATGATATAAAAAACCTCATTAATTCTATTATAATTCTCTTCCCCATAGTTGAATCTCTGAATACTGGGGTAATAAGAAAGTGATAAATGTCAGAAGATGGAAGTGCTGCTTCTACTGGGGTTTATGTCCAAAAGTTCCTTCTGTTGGCATTACTGTGACAAAATTTTAATATTGAAATGAGTCTCTCCACTTCTTGTTTTTGTGGGTGGAAGGGGGAAGTGCCATGACTCTGAAGGGATTCCCTCCAAAAGCAAGTTGTTTCAGTCCTTGTTCAAACATTTGGTTTGTGCTCACCCCCACAAAAGACTAGGCTCTTCAGATTACAACTCTAAAATATTACTCAAAAGGTTACCAAAAAAAGGCGCTTTATAGTTCTCTCTTCCCGCTGATCAGAGTAAATGGATAACAGCACATAACACCTACATGTAAACCTTGTAGAAAGTACTTAATGAAATTTCAGTGTAGCCATCTGCCTCTCCTTGACTGGCTTCTTAGCCATGGGCACTGTGTTATTCTGTCTAGAGTTATATAGAGGCATTATGCTGCAAATTGTGCAGACTTTATCTTCCAGCCTGAGCATGTCTTGTTCTAATTTCAGAGAATAGGTGTATATTAGGGCTTGTCTATTCTTTTTAAAGAAAGATCTTGTAATTGGCATTTTGTGACCCAAATTAATCTTGTGTCATTTGTTAAGAAGATTTGGAACGTGATAATATTCAAAGAGCGCTGCGGGGATGCAGTAGCTGTGGTAGGCTTACTTGACTTCTGAGTGCCGGAAGCACCCTCCAGATTGTCTGATGTCACTCATCTGTTTTCAGTTTTATAAATGCTACCTGTTGTCCTTTTAACTTCGCAGGCATTTCAGCTGGGCCCTACAGAAGCATCTTACTACTGGGTCTATTGGGTACCTACTCAATATGTTGATGCAATCAAAGACACGGTGCTGGGGAAATGGCAGTATTTTTGAAAGCACGCTCACCTCTGGCACAGGAGACTGACACAAACTAAGGACACTGCTGGGAGAGGCCTCCAACGTCCCTGGATGTGATAATCCTGGAACTTATTAATAAAATGTGATCTATCGAGGCATTGACAGAAGCCAGAGGTGATGTTCTTTCACCATTAGTTTACTTTTAACTTAAAAATTTCAGCATCCCTTTTCTGCAGTCAGCTTCAACCGTATTTAAAGGAAATACAATGGAAATCAATAAATCTTAATTCACAACATAATGTGTGTAATACACTTAAATCTGCTGAGAGTAGATCTTCCAATTTAGTTTTTGAAAGGAAATATTACAATGTACCGTTGAGGATTTTTTACATGATTTGAACAAAAACTATTTTCATAATCTTTCAGTTACAAGCATTAGACTCTACTTATTTGGTTGTGACTGTTTGAGAAACAGGTTTTTGGGGTTTTTTGTTGTTTTGGTTTTTTTAAATAAACTTTAACTAGTATGCAAACTTGGGGTTTAGTAAGCCATATTCTGCTGGCCCTTTTATTTCAGATTTGCTTTTTTTGGTAGCAACATTCTGAAGTTTTGGGTTTTTTTAAAACCCAAAGATGCCCTGCTTCTGCTTCTCCACTAGCAGCTCTGGCTTTATATGTGCAGTGTTTGTATATGGGGAGCAGGAAGATGCCACTGTGGACTTTCTATAGCCAAGATGGCCCAGTGCTGCTTATTGTCCCATTTCATGCTGTTTTCAGCCATTCTGTGTTGCCTGCGCACCCCTCTGCCCTTTTTCTGCCCCCTGCGGAGAGATGCTGTTTTTAGGAGCATCTCTGCCTTGTATGTTGTTGTCCAGAATCATTTTGCAGCCATGTTGTCAACACTAACCTATGTGAAAATAAATCAGTTCACAACCAGCCAACCTGGAATATTACCTGCTAAACTTTTGGAGCCAGTGCACTGCAGTAATGACCAAGATAATACTACTAAAGGAAGTGAACCAAAGGCATCTTCCTATTAGTTGTTGGGATTATGTGGCCAAGATGCCACTTTTTCTAGATGCAGCATAAATGGGTAGTCTTGTACAATTTGGATTTGCAGAGTACTAGATCTTTATATCAGCAATGCTTGTGAAGTGTGGGATACATGCCCAAAAACTGATCCTTGTCTCTGAAGGGTAAAGATGGTACGGTTACATTTCAGCTGATATTTTATCAAGTTTTCAGCAGATTCCACTGGCTCTCTAACCTCTTTCTATCTGAAATAATGTTCCTGGTCTATGGCTTGTGACATTTTGCCTGTCAGCTCTGCAGTTGAAGTGCCATTTATCTCAGGTTTTCTGAATGGACCTTTCAGTCCTGAAAAAAGGTGCACGCACTTAATAGACTGTATTGCATGGTAAGGCTGAATTAAGTCTTGCTGTGCTTTAAACCTGCATAGAACAGATCACTATTGTGGGTTTTTATCTCCAGCTTTTTTTAAACACTGTATACTTAATATTGTGTGTTATATGTAGCTCAAAGTTTGGTCAGAAACATCCCTCTTTATAAAAGTCTAATTTAACTTGCTCTCTGTCTGTATTTAATTTTTTGACATATTTCTGTTGAAACTCAGCAGATGCAAACTTCTAAATGAGCATTTTTTTACATATATACTGGAGAAAGCGGTCAGTCATGGGATGAGTGTTTTTCTTAAAAGTGGCTGTTCAAAATGTATTTGGGTTAAGGTTCTTTACCTGCCTATGTAGTTTTGGCAGCAACATAATGTGGTTCTGGTTTGTCTTTCCAGTTCAAATCTCCATGCAATATGAGTCTATTTCAAAGGGGTTTCACATCCCTACCTATAACCTGGTGATATGCTTGTTGTTCTTGTAGCTTGAGCTGCTTTTATTCTGTACGCAAACCAAGAGTGGCAGGTCTTACCATGGAGTATTTGCAGTATAACGGGGATTGTCCTGGCATCATACTGTGATGTTTTCCTAGGACTATGCTGCCAAAAGCTGTTAGCAAGTGCAGAAATGCAAGTAGTGGAATAGCTGTACCTTCTGTTTTTTGGGGGGCTGTCTGTAAAACTTCACTGCAATCATCACTCTATTTTTCTAATTGTTAACTTCAGGTTTAAGGCTAAAGCATGGATATGAAGGAACGGGCACAGCTGAATCTCCACTAGGCAATGCTGTGTTACACACCCTTGCAAAAGGCAGTGACATGGAACATTTTCTGGTGCTTGGGTTCACCATTATTCTTGCCCAGTTTTAACTACTTCAGTTGCTGTTGACTTCTGTTCACCACTACGCTTACCTTGCATTTGTCTAAAAAACCCATTCAGTCTCCTTCTCCCTCCTGTTCTTTCACTTGCCTTCTACTTGAAAGGTCCACTGTGCTTTACCATGCTACTGCAACTCTTCCCATATGTTCCAGGGAATTCTACATTCAGATGCAATCATGTGGCTGAGCCCACTCTGCCGCCAGTGTTTGTCACTTATTCTGGGGTAGGGTATGTACCTGGCAACATGGCTTCCAAGACTGTGAGGGCATCTAGGGTCCAGTATACAGTGTAGAATTTAATGTCCCTTTTGTGTTTCTTCCCTGAAGGCAAAATAACTACATTTGGTGCTACATACAATAGGCCTTGGATATTTCAAGGGACACTTAAAAGCCTGTGTTGCCAACCAGATTGTGTACCCATATTTCCCACCACCTTAGATTATTACAAATAATGACAAATTTGAATTCAGACTTTCTTGTTCCTGTCCACATGCTTCATTGGCTTGTGACTTTCACCTGATTTGAAAAATAAAGCTCAGTTCATCTTTAGGTCCTAGATGCAGTGTTTAGGCTGGAGTACACCGGGACAAATATTGGTCTAGCATGTTTTCATTTGCTGTTCAGCGTTTTGTTATGCATATCTTTTTTTGAGTTTTATGAAAGTGTGTTCTTAAACTGGACCCAAAGCTCTAGCTTTACAGTTGACAGCATCCCTTCAAGATGGCTTCGTGTCTATTTTTAGAATGGCACGAAACTTTTTTACTTCTACTTTTAAGAAAGTCCTTAAAATGACCCATGCTCATAAAAGCCTAGACAACACAATAACACTGTTTGTCTATACCACAGCTTGCAGAGTCCCAGAGCCATTTACTGTCCTGCAGTTTTTACACTGAATTTCCCTTTTGTAGCTATGGGGATTTCCATGTTGGATCCAGGATATCAAATGGTCACGTGGGCAGTGATGGAGTGAGGCTGTTTTGTGCAGTAAATGTTTGAGTAAAGGACTAATAAAATCTTTATTTATTGGGTTGAATAAGATTGCTAATAAGATGGCTTGCATTATCCATCCAGAGAGATGTTACCAAATCTTCAACAAGGCTCCCAAGAAAGGCAAAAGGTTGAGCCCATTGAGTTATATACATGGATGCCTTTATAGTGGGGATCTGTTTTTTCCTATTCACTGTGTATGTCATTCCTACAGTCTTAATGGATGGTGTCCTGCCAAATTTAGTAGAGTATGCTCTTTTCCCCCTTCCTGTGGGTTGCTGACTAGTATCCAAAGTCTCTGGAATGCAGGCAAGGACTTTCTGGTTTGTTGATTTGTTTTGAAGGAATAAAGAAAGCTTTTCCATGCATATGGATCCTAGATTCTTCTGATGTGCCATCTAGTGCCTCCTTTCTAGTAGCTCTCCCAGGTGCCAATACCTCCTCAATGTCCACTACACCAGCTCCTCTGTGGAGGAGGAATCCTGCTCTACTCCATGAACCCCTTGCTGCTACTGGTGCTAACAGCCCCTGGTGCAGGAGCTGGCCACTCATCTCTGTCACTTCCCTCATCTTTCTTGGCCTGGCATTTCTCTGTTTGTTCTAGATCTCTGTCTTCATAACCATCTGTGCATCCTGAGCATTCATATTTTCCCAATGCTTTCTTTTCCTCGTGAATGTAAAGGCATAGTCTTAAATCTTCTCTGGGCTTGACCATCAGCAGCACCAGCTCTCCTGCTCAGTCTTCCTTGTAGGAAAAACTTGTATTACTGGCATATTTCCCATGTGAAGCTGAACCTTAAAGTGAATCATGCATTTTCTTAGCAACTGTATAAATGTCTTAGAGAGATTTTATTACTGGAATAAAGATTCTCTTGATAAGAGTGATCACACGAGCAGTAGGGCAAAGTCATGGAGGGGAAAGGTAGTTTTGGGGAAAGGATTAGGTGAGAACCTGATGACACGCTGCAGCAGGGGTACAATTGCATTTACACAGATTTGTAGCTATCATTTCATGTTCTAATGGCCAAAAAGAGAGAGTTCATTTGCAAGGCCATTATATCAGAAGTGCCATATTTTGCTGGGTTGTCCTTCCAAGTCCTTTCTTCCTTCCTTTTCTGGCTCCAGCATTGCCCCAGAATCCTTGGTGATGCAGCTTCCGGGGCACTGGCATGTTTTTCTCCAGAACACATGCTCAGTCTCCCTGCTCCATTTGCTTTGTGTGCCAGCTTAGTGGTGCAAAGTTTGTTTTTAAACTCTCCTGCCACTGCTTCCTGCTTGTTCTCTTGGGGTTACTCTCCTTCCCCAAGGAACCTGTTTTCATTTGGAACATTGTCCTCCAGCCTTTCACCTTCTCTTATCATTTGATCTTTATTTTGTTTTGAGGATTATTGTCCAAGTCACTTGAGGGGTGGGCTGGGAGACCTGTCATCAAGCTACCTAGAACCATGTAGTTATTTTACCTTTCAGCAAAGTATTTTCCTTATGTGACTCAAAGCAATTTAGTACATCTTATTCACACTTCAGTCTACTCATCCAGTCATTCATTCTTTTAACAAGTCTTAGACCACCTGTAAGTTTTCACCACAGAATTATTTTAATGGAACATGTAAGTACCATGTTTATGGTATTTTTAAAAAATAATCTATTGCCTATTTTGGGGGAGGGGGAGATGACAAATATTTAGTCTTAGATTTGCACTGCTGGATTTTTTTAAGTGTAACCTTGACTGGTTATCCTGTTGTTTTATTCTGTAAGATTAGTCTTACGAATTAAAGTTTGATAATTAAGCATGTCTGTGTTTGAGTGATTTGGACACTGTACACGCATGAAGCTGTTCTTGTAGAAACTTGGCATTCAGAATTTTCTCTCAGAATATCACTTGTTGGGATGACAGGTCGTCAGAATTCCAGTGTTACCTGGTAGCACTGCTACACTTAACAGTGTTGATGCCTGTGTTAGATGCCTTTGTCCAAACATGAACCTATATAATTTTCCCTTGCACAGTTTCAAACCAAAAGGTGGTAATTTGGGGCCATTTATGTCTCCATGACTCTCTAAAACTGAGGCTAGATTTTGTTCTAACTGATAAAACGTGCCTGTTATGATTTCAAATGCGTACACACACTGAAGAAATCCCAGATAGGGGCATACTTTTTATAATGGTGTCAGACGTCCCACCCTAACTTCCCAGCCCACAAAAACAGATCCTCAAGAAACGTGCAGCTAAATAGACAGCACTTGTAATTTATTCTTCATTGGTCTGACACCTAGTGAAGCCCATTCCCAGTTCCTAGCTGCCTTCCTCACTTATCTGTACTTCAGTTTCTCTATCTGCAGAATTGAGATTAGCTGTCTCCCAGCATGGTGGTTGACTATTACTATAATTGCATAACAAGCACGCACACGCGCATGCACTTTGAAGCTTATTTCCTATTATGTCAGAAAGTCTGGAAATGAAGTCCAATTTCTGTATCGGGTTTGGAAAAAAAAAAAGAGCATTTTGGAGAAAAATGTAACGGCGTCTGGGAATTAATAGGACCTCCTTGAAAATCCTATTCAGTGTGAAGTCTTTCTAACCAAGACATGTTCATGCCTATGATTTCTTTTTAAATGAGATTGAAGATCATCTATAGTTGGTTAGAGTATAAGACTGCACTAAAGGGTCTCTGTTGTCTTCTTGCAAGGTTGAATCCCACAGGAAGTCTATGAAATCTATGACATTAGGGCTGGAAGGGACCTTAGAAGATCATCGAGTCCAGCCCACTGTCCCAGGGGCAGGAAGTCAGCTGGGGTCATAGGATCCCAGCAAGATAAACATCCAAATGTCTCTTGAAGGTGTTCAGTGTAGGTGCTTGAACCACCTCCGATGGCAGGCTGTTCCAGACCTTGGGGCCTCAGACAGTAAAGAAGTTCTTCCTTATGTCCAGCCTGAAACGGTCTCCCAGTAGTTTATGATCGTTCGACCTTATCATCCCTTGGGATGCTCTGGTGAACAAACGTCCCCCCAGGTCCTGGTGGTCACCCCTGATAAACTTGTAGGTGGCCACCACATCACCCTTCAGCCTGGAAAAGCACAGGCTCAGGAGTCCCGTGGCTCTCAGCCTCTCATTGCAAGGTCTGTTTTCCTGACCTCTGATCATGCGCGTGGCTCTCCTCTGTACTCTCTCAAGCTTCTCCACATCCTTTTTGAATTGTGGAGCCCAAAACTGGACGCAGTACTCCAGCTGCGGCCTCACCAAGGCCAAGTACAAGGGGAGAATGATGTCCCGGGTTTTGCTTGAGAAGCAGCTATGGATGCAAGCCAGCGTTTTGCTCGCTTTACTAGCCACAGCATCACACTGAAGGCTCATGCTCAAGTCGGGGTGTACTGGTGGAATTCATACCCACCTGGGTATGAAGTGGGAGAGGGAAAAGCAGCAGTCCATTACGTGCAGACTCGAGTGTTATTGCCATTGAGAAACTGGCTGCACCAGCCAGCCGGGCAGGCGCAGGTTTGCTGTGCCATTCTGGAAGGTGTTTACCCACGAGTTGTCAGGCATGTGGCTGAGGCAATAACTAGCCCTCGGAGAATGGGGTCTGAGACTGCTGGGTTTGCACGTGGCTACAGGTCACCCCCAGAGGAGCCAGAGAACGTTAACCGCAGCAAGGACAATTGCGAACAGGTTCATGGACCTCAGCAAGGGAAGCCCTGGCGCACATGCTGAGCAAATGTGGCATTTACATGCTTGAGTAAACTAGCAGTGCCATCAGAGAGAGAGGGTCTTGCTGTTGTGGGGAAGCTACCAGTCCTTTTGGGCTGTGGCTAATGAAGCTGTCCCAGACAATAGGGGTCTGCTGTTAGGCAATGGGGTCTGCACCAGAAAGGGTCAAGGCCAAGTGGTGCTGCCTGCAACATGATTTGGATGCAAAGGTTGTGAACACCGGAGGGACAATCGTGGCCTGCTGTCCCCTGCATGAGGCCTGTGAAGCCAGAAGTGAATGTTTTTACATGGTTTAATCACCAAGCCTGGAGTCTGTGGCCACAGTGCATGGCTGGAAAACTTCCTGTAAAGAACAGGCCCAGGATCAAGGCAGGTAAGGGATGCCAGATGTGCTCATGTCTGTGCCTCTTGTGGAGAGTCTCCCGAGTGCTGCTGCGCTGTTCTGTGGGGCGAGATACCACGAAACGTTACGACTGGCATGCAGCGACTGCTGTGTTTAACTCCTGCTGATCACATTGTGCCCCATTAGCTTTATAGATTGCTTTGGGTAAGGGTTGGTTTTACTTGCTGAAGATGGCATCAGCATAACTGTAACTCTCCGCTTCCTAGTTCGGAGACCTGCCCTTTCACTGGTTGTCTGCTGCTTGCTACTTATAACAAAACCTTTTGGCATAGCTGCAGCTTCTTCCTCTGTTTTACACAGTGCTTCACAAGGATGTATTGGATAGCCATGTTGGTCTGAGACAAAAAGAAATGCAAAAATGTAGACTTCTTGGTTCAGAGATGATACCTTTTATCACGATAAAAGGTATCATCTCTGAACCAAGTGCTTCACCAGCATTTATTAGCTGTACCTATCTGCCAAGGAAACAGAACAGCACAGTGAAGGCACCGTAACTCCTCGTGGTGCAAAGAAACTGAAGCATTTAAAACAATGCAGGGCTCAGTGTAGTGGCACCTGGTGCGGTGCTGAGCAGCTGCTGAGCAAGCCAGAGCTGTTTGCCCCCTGCAGTGTCTTGAGCTGCCGGAGGCCAGGGAGCCATGAGCACTTGCAGGTCCTGAGCAGGCTGCGAGCATCTGGTAGTACAGCGAAGAAGGCGGGAGGCCGGGCGGTGCTCCTTGTATCTGAATGAGCAGTTGCAGGGGAAGTTGTGTTGTAAAAAGGGGTATGGGTGCCTGGAAACCCCGGGGCCGACGCGCTGTATTTGGGCCGCCTCGGTGCTAAAGAGCTGGGGCCTGGGCCCGTGGGTGCTGGGACTCTGGAGCCAGGGCTCTCAGGGTTTCTAGTCCAGCCTCCTCTCCGCTGAGTTCCCCAGTTCCCTGCATCCACCTCGTTTCTCTGCTCTCCTGCCCCGCTCCTGGGCACGTCCATAAGGAGGTCGGCCTTTCCCTGCAGCTCTCTGCTGCAGTGTCTATGCTCAGGCAGGAAGGCAGGCTAGGGCCGACCAGCTGGGTAGCAGGAAAGGCCCTGGGGGTGATGGGAGCTGGCAGTGTGCCCTTGTCACCAAGCAGGCTCCTGGCATCCTGGGCTGCATCAGTAGGAGCAGCACCGTCCCTAGACTCCTGGCAGCCCTGGGCAAACTTTTAGTATCTGGCCCTGGTTTGGCAGAGATGATGATAATTAGAGAATGGAAAAAAATTACCATTTTAGAGCCCCCTTTCTGTGTGGGTCTCAGATGGCTGCCTGGTTCACCCATGCCTGTGTCCCGCCCTGGGTGGGAGTACTGCCAGCAGGTCGAAGGCAGTGATTCCTCCTCTCTATTCAGCACTGGGGAGGCCACATCTGGAGTCCTGTGTCCAGCTATGGGCCCCCACCCTAGACAGGATGTGGACACGTTGGAGAGAGTCCAGCTGAGGGCAATGGAAATGGTTGTGGGCTGGGGGACAGGACTGGTGAGGAGAGGGAACGGGGCTGATTGAATCTGGAGAAGAGAAGGCGGAGGGGGATTGAACAGCACCTTCACCTCCCGGCAGGGGGTGCACAGAGGACGGAGCTGGGCTGTTCTCCGTGGGGACAGACGACAGGACAAGGAGCAATGGGCTCAGGCTGCGGCAGGGAAGGTTGAGGTTGGACATTAAGAGAAACTCTCGACTCGGGGCTGGGGGGGTGGGGCCGCGCAGCGGCTCCTGGAGTCCGCGTCCTGGGGGGACTGACTCTGTGATGGCCGCAGGCAGCGGGGTCTCGGGCGGCCAGGAGCTATGGGCCCCGCTGGAGGGCGGCGGCGTTGCTCGAAGCCCTCTGGGCCCCTCGCGGGAGCCCAGAGAAGGTCCAGACGTGAAGTAAAAACCGGCTGCCGCTGCCATAAAAACATCAACGGAGTAAAAGAAGGAGTCCGGCGCTTGGCGGTCTTCACGGTTAAAAGCCGCAGGCCGGGGCCGCCACTGGGTCGGGCGCCCAGCGCCTTAAAAGCCCGGTAAATTACGGGGGACAGCAACAGAGAAAACGGCGTGCACGTGCGGGGTCACAGGGCCAAACAAGTGCGGTGCGGGGCCGGGCCGGGGCGGGGCGGTGCCAGCCCAGCCGGGCGGTGCCACCGCTGCCACCGCCTCCTGCTCCAGCTGCGCGGGGCGGGGC